GCAGCATAATACACAAGCACAATACTGTTGTTCATATTACAATGAAACTACTTTGGTTTGCTTGCTGGCGGTTGTTGGCTGTTTCACTGTTTCGTCTCTCACTCACAGCTAAACTGTCTCTTCTTTCTTTTCCATTTTTGGGCTTTCCACATTGAACACACATTGAAGTTTTTCCATTATTATTTTAAAAAAAACTTAGCTCTGCTGTATTTTTTTCTTCAATTTTTTCTTAAAAACTTTATTCAACTTCAATTCAGTTTTGAGCGATCACACGGCAACAGCACCAAGCAAATTGACGCGCAATTTGAAGATAAATATAGTGTAAAGCATAAAAAAAATTTCTTAAAATTTTAAAAGCCGCATCAGACTCAAATTTATTTTTTTAACAATTATCAGATTGTGGAACATCATAAGACAACAAAAGTTGTAAAAATTAATTTGAATTATGAATTGATTTAAACCAATTTAAACATCGAAATGAGAAATAAATTTAAGTTCAATCAAGTGAAAAGAAAAGTGTAACATTTAGAGCTAAACGGTTTGCGTTTTTTTTTTATTCTCCAAAAGAAGTGATAAAACTTAATTTGAAGCAATTAAGATCTCCATAGCTTTATGACACAAATTTTTACTTTAACTTTTTCATTTCATTTGTTTTATTGCTCTTTTATGTTGTATATTGTATGTGCGCGTGTTTCGTGACAAAAGATTCAAAAAAGAGCGAAAGCCAATAAGTAAAAAGAAAAAAATTCTTTCAGACAATAATAAGCAAAAGAAAAACTGTGTTAAAAAGTTTTTATTTTTTTTTGTATTTGTCCTTATGATAACTTGTTTAATTTGCACAAAAATTGAAGTTATTAATTGTGTTTCTAAATTAATTAGGGGTCGTTCGCAAAAAACGACTTTTTCGAATCCCTCTTGTCACAAAATTTGTATGAAGAATAATATTTTCTGTCACATGTTTTTCTACCCACACCCCCACTTCTACCCTAAACGTGACGTAACTTGCAAACGACCCTTATCATGTTTGAAATACTAATAGCATCACTTAATTTCGAAATAAGCATTCATGTTTCAAAATTGAAATCTTTCTCATAATCCTTACTTGTGAAAATAAACACAAAACAAACAAATGTGAAAGAAGGAAAAGAAAACTTTTCTTCTTCTTTAATTTTGAATTATTGTGAGTTTTCTTCGTTAAATTTAAGGAAAAAAGTGTCAAAATTGTGAGAAAGTTGAATAAATCATAATAACTTATAACATATAAATTATGTTTTAATCCGTTTCAGCACAATAAACGATTTAGTTTTATAGACCAAATGTGCACAAATGTATTTTTATTAGTGAAAGACTTACAAACAATTTTCATGTGATTCGTCAATTCAAGGATTATTAATTATAAAACATCAGAGTTAAATAACGATCTAAAAAAAGATTATCCATTTTTATAAGGTAGGCGAAATATTATTGATTGACAAAAAATTTTGAAAAATGATTCTGTCAATATGCACTACAATGCTCTGACTAAAACAATACCTCATCAACACACAGATTTAAAGTCACGAAGCTTTCATAAAACATAAAAAAAATATCGTCGGTTCTGCAGATGCAAAAAAAAAGAAATTTAATTAATTATTAAAGACTATAAAAACAAAAAAGGTATTTTGAATCGAGTATGGGAAATGAATCTTTTGCCTCAATGAGTTGGCAAAAGCTCAAATTTTTGCTTCTCGAATGAAATTTTATTTTTGTCTACAAATGAATTGTTGATAAAAAATTTCGATCCAAATATCAGCCAATATCGAACATTGGTTGCATGCTTAAATAATAAAGTTTCAATATTTCAAATGCTTTGTGTTCCAATTTGAAAATTTAGTTGAAATTTTTTACCATTGAAAAAATATTGTCTAGAGCACTCAAAAATTGTAATAATTATTTAAAATACCCTGTTTTTTCGTTATAAGCTATTACTCGTTACTAACCCGAGTGGACAAAGTACTAGTTAAAAGCTTGCCATTGACTTGCCTTTTCACGGCGAGTAAGTATCCATTGACGTGCTTTTGCAACTAGACTTAAGGACGACTAATGACATATTTTGCGCTTTCCATTTAACTGGACATAGGAATTGCAAATATGTCTAGTTAATGGCCAGTTACAAAAAAATCGAAATAAAATAAATAACACGTGTCTTTTTCTCCATATTTTTTTCTTTTGTAAAATTTTATTATTGTATTAGTGTAATTAATTAATTAAAGTACACTATCACTTATGAAAAATCTCTAGTAAAAATTGAGTCTCGAACACTTGCGCGTGAAACAATTATATTTACTTAAAAGTTTCATACAAATTTTGGTGGACCTTATATAAGTGATTTCTGTAAGCGTTTGTGAAGTATATGGTCAAAAAAGTAAGGAAAATTATTTTTGAGTTTCGAACACTTGATTGATTAGCATGAATGTCCAGTTAAAGTCTAGTTAACGTATAGTTCTCTATATCGTATATATTTCGACAAGTTAAAAGACTGTTAAATGATTGTCCAATAATGGACTTTAACTGGCTGTGTCCACCCGGGTAAGCTACCAGTGAGGTAGAAAAATCACTTTTTTAATCTACTAAGCTACTAGCTTATAACGAAAAAACGGGGTATGTGATAAAAATGTAAATTTCTGCCTGTTTCAATCTTTTTTTTTTTTCAAAATTAAAAAATATGAGATTTAATATATTAAAGCTTTGCTTGTTCTTACTTCACGCTCGAAATTTTTTTTTAAACTTAAACAGTAATTTATTTAAAATAATAAACCCCTAAAGCACGATCGAATAAAAATATTCAAAGTGACCAACACCAAAAAGTGTGTAGCTTTGAACCAATAAGCAAATAAATTTCACTTCCTATATGTCGTGTTTTAACATCTACATAAAAATCGGATTTCCTTTCATTCAATTTTATAGCTTTTAAAGTTTCCTTTTTTTATTTTTAAAAACCTTTAAAAACTCCGAAAAATATATTTCAATAACATTTCTGGAATAGTTCGATTATGAAATACTTTTAATATCATTTGTTCATTAATTAATGAAATTTATCATGTCATGAAAATTATATCATAATAAGAACATATCTACATGATCATGATGTTTTGATTAATATTATACAAAAGCCTTATAAAAATTATTAAATCAAAGACAGAAGTCAAGATTGAAATAATTTGTATACTGTAATTCATAAATAAGGAATTTAGTATCCCTTAATTTTATTTTCACACCTTTCATTTTTTCTCATGTTGTTCTCATACGTCATCCGAGCTTTCATTTATTGTGTGACAATTTATATCTTTTTCTTCCGGTAAGTTCCTTTGAAAGAAAATGAAAAATTGCTACATCATTCTATATGTCTTATGTAAATTATTCATACACAAAGCATTAGTAATGAAATATTTTATTAAATTCATTTCAATTTGACACGTTTTTCTCTTTTCTTTTTTTTTGTCCTTAATGTCCACTTTCATGCGTGGGCGTAGAGGAAAGACTATAGAATTAGAAATAAACAAAAAACAATTGAAATAGAAATCGTTTGACCGCAAATTTCTGATTTTACTTCATAATTTTCACTTACAATTTGTCTATTTAAATATCCACAGGGAGTTTTCAATTCCTAATTGAAATGTTGAATGATAAATAAACATAATAATTCATTCATTTGTATTATCAACATGCATATTTAATTTCTCTGACAGCTCAACTATCATTAATCAATTAGTCGCAAAATAAATTAATGAACATTTGGAAAAAAGCGTGAAAATCAAAAGAAATTTAACAAGACAGGTTTAAAGATTTATCATTTTACCAACTAAAGTCTTGAATGAGAGCATGTAAGAACATAAATTAGCATCTTAGTTTCGAAATGCACAAAAAAAAATGATTTTTTCAATACTAAGCATAAATTAAGTACACCAGATGTAACAGACCATATTGTGCATTATTGGTAAAAGGAAATACAAAACTGTAAATCTCTAGTAAATGAAAATCATTGAGAAAAAATTCCGAGAAATGTTTACTTTTCATTTCATTTTGAGATGTCTTGTAATTGATATCATCTCAAAAGAAAGTAAAATTGATGTTACATCGTAGGCAGACGACGAGTGAAACAGAAACGAGATGAAAGAAAAAAGAGGTGTGTAACTTAAAGCGTCTCCATATAAACAAGTATGAACTCATGAGAAAATGAGCCGCATTAAAATTGAAGCATAGGATAGACAGAATTTAGGCTAATCTAATAACTGAAGTGCAAAATCAGCCTTATGATTTTGAATAAAACATGTTTTTGATATAATAAAAAGTTATTTTGTTCTTTCTTTTACTCGTTCTTTTCGTTTTTGTTTTCATTCATACGCCTATTACATCAACTATCTGTACAATAAAGCGAGAGAGAAAAACAAAAAAAATAAGTTTCGATTTCTTTAATGCCTCATATGTGCAGGTATAAAGAACGTAAATGGAATTTGGCACACATTCTCTATTACCACTAAGTACTTCCATACATACAAAGTCGTTCAGTTCATCGCACTGCAAGATAATTTTCTTCTCTTTTATGCAATATTTTTGCTTCACATTTTTATTTTTTATTCATTCCTTCTAGATTTTATGAATTTCACAATCAATTGTAAATATTTTTGGAGCTGTTTAAAATAAAGTTTAAAAATAAAATTCAGTAAAAATATTGTAGAACTTTGTCAATTGCGGGTACTTGTAATGTGTCATATTGTAATCGTTTGATTATTTTGCTCATATTTTCTTATATATTGAATCAGAGCCAAATTCATTAACTTATTTTCGATTAATCTATTTATTAAATGTTTTTATTTTCATTTGATTTCATTACTTTGATTATGTCAACTTTTATTTCAGATTTGGGAGCAAAGTATACATCCATTGTGCCAAAGCAAATAAACATAATATTTTAAGAAAACAAAAAGGAAGCAGCACAATAATGCTTTTTAAACAGTATCGAATTATTTTCATATTAATTTTTTTTATTATGCTTTCAAGTAATTGCACGTTTCGCATGATTAAAGCAAATGATATTGAGACCACCTTGCAGCAACATACAAATATCATGGAAAATGCTCAATCTGGTAAGTTATTTATTATTTTATTTATTTCTATTGACAACATTATATTCATATACACGTACCATAATAAAGCACTTGAAATCAACATAAGAAAGTCAATAAAGATGATTAGAGATTTTTGTCACGATTTGAAAAGCCTTTTGGTGGCTATTTACATTGTTATGAGATTTTCGTCTTTACCAATGTCTGTATATGGTTTTCACTGTCGACTTTGATAAAGTAAAATGCCGACTTTTTCCTTTTCATATTTCCTTGATTTTTACTTCAACAATTTCAAAAAGCAAATAGTTTTGCTTTTTTCCATTATTCAATATCACTGTGTACTACAAAACACATTAATCTGTGTACATACAAATGCTTCTATGTAATAATAAAGACAACAGCAGCACTCTTCAGAAATGCATAATAGCTCTTGATTTTATGAGTAATAAGTACTAAGACACATTCTGTAGTCACATTAATGTTTCATAGTAAATGATAATGAGAGACTGTTCAAGTATTATTATTCTTAACCGCTACTGAAACCAGACATAACAAAATGAACACGAATTAAGAACGATTTTTTCGATTTTTTAAGAGATTTGTTTAAAACTTTTTTTTAATAATACCCTTAATTTATTTTTTACATTTTACTTTTTTAAGGAATGTTCCCTATGTACTGTCTTAAATCATTAACGTCGAGCCATTCTTGACTTCTTCTTGTTACGCGCATAAATCAATTTATTTTTTTAAAAAATTGTTTGAATAATCGTGATATTGCGAAAAATAAAATTCCTTTTCAGCATTAATAAGTTTCCCCAATTTTCCGGTTTTGTATGCTTTGTTTGCTTTCTCGCTAACGGAATCAGGATATCCAGGTGAATCCCGGTCTTTATAAATCCCGGAAAACCGAAATTTTTGGGGAACGGGATTAAAAATCGGATTTTGAAGATTTAGTAAAATCAAAATACGAGTGTTATAATTTTTGATTTCAGTCCCGAAAAACTCGGGACTGGGAAATCGGGAAAACCTACCATTAAACAAGAAAAAAATATTGATTTACAACAAGAAAATTTTTTTCTATGAAAATTAATTTTCATTATTTTACTTATGACTTGTCATCTAGAGAAAAGGAAAACCTAAGGATAGTGAAAATGTTAAGACCAAATGGCGACCAATGGTTTAGTTTTAATTCAATAAAGTGTATGTAAAATAAACAAGATATTATAAGCAGTTTTATGCATTGGTTGAAGTCAATAACAACTCTTATTAGAACGAAGATACTTTTGGCTTTAAAATAGAATTTAACAATAATTTTTTTGAAATGTAAGTTGATGCGAGTCTCTCTCGCTTTAAATTCTAAAATTTTGATTTGGATTGAAATATCGAATTTTTATTATTTATCAAAAATTTCTGAATTTTTTTATGTGTGATTTCCATTTTCGGATCCTTATTTTATATCATTTGCACATCCATAAAATTTGAAGTTATGAAACAGATGCTAAAGCTTTCTCTAAAGATTTGCAAATATTATTACAAGAATATTTTTATGCGCATTTGTTCTTTTATCCATATTCCATAAAAGAGAGAAGAAAAAGTTCAAAAGACGCACATCTTTTTACGACGTGGATAGAACCAAAAACTCAATATTTATGCAAATTGCTAATGATTTTGGTTCATGTATATGCTTTGATTTTTGCACATCTTTAAAAAAAATTCATTTTAATTTTTTCATAGAAAATAAAGAAGGTAGATCATTATTCCCACGACTAGAATATACAAACGAGTGGACGCCAGTAGGAAGAGGTGATCCATTAAAAGATCCTACTTATGACTACATGCCCCCTGTTCTTGATAGAGTACGGTATTGGGCAGAAGGAATATCACATAAAAATAAAAATGATGTTTTGTTGCTTGGTGTGCCATCAAAAAAAGTTTCTTCGATTAATAAGAAAAATAATTATGGCCCTATCAAACGAACTTACTTCTCAATGCCTTATCAAAGTCAATTTTCACCACCTGTTTATAATCAACAACCACAGCAACAACCATATGTAAGTTAGATATAATCTTTTTTGATTAATAAATTTTTGAATTTTTCAATACTTACTAGAACTCACAGCGCATAGCTTCTCATCTTCGTATGCCTAGTTCTCCAGATTCACATCCGATGATGTCAACACATCACTATCATCATAATCAACAGTTATATCAAACTTCGGCTCAATGGAAGAATCCACAAAACGGAAATGGAAATAATAACATTTATCAGAATGAACAAAGCCTAGAAAATTCAGTTCATCAGCACAAACCAACAATGACAACTACATCTACAAAATTTCCTCAAACATTTCCTTTTTTACCGACTACACCACCTAAAGAAATATCAATACCGGAGGTATCCAATTTTCGAGGTAATTGTAATTTTTTTTATTGCATCTCATGATGGACTGTTCATCTATAGTTCTAAACTACGAATCAATAAAAAATAATTTCTCATATCATACTTATATTTTGTTCATTTGCGATAGATGTTTTACTACCTTCAACACAATCGATGTCTTTAAGTGCTTCAAATTTAAATTTTGCATATCAGAATATGAGCAGTAAAGATACAGAATCAACAACAGCAAGACCGATGACAATAACAATAAATGAACAAACTCCATTTGGGAGTAGTACTTTGATTATGAATAGTCATGCCATGTTGAGTAGTAGTAGTAGCAGCAAAAAAACCACAAAACCGCTACTGCACTCAATATTACAAACAGAATCTGCAGTGCCATTTAGTTTCACCAAGAAACCTTCATCAGCATATCAGATTGAATATACATCGAATATTTATAGTCCTGAAGCTATAAATTCGATGGCTACCTCATCAACAACAACGTTTGTGACACCATCAACTATACCACCAACAAAACCATCTATACATCCAATGTCTATGAAAACGACAAACAAGATGATAATATCAACATCAGAACGAGATGAGCAAAAGCATTATGTGCAACCAGACATGCATGTTGGGTGGCCAGTCTATAATTTAATTATTGAAGGACATTCGAAAGTGAAAACTTATGGATTGAAAAATGATGATCCGCTTGCTCTTAGTATGCCAAAAATAAGACCTATTCAATCGAAAGAAAATCCAATTGTCGAGCATGTCATAAAAAATAATGATGATGGTCCTGAATACAAGCTTCAGCAGAAACAAAAGCCCAAAAAGGAATCGACAATGGAAAGTTTACTTAGTATTTTAGACGGTTCCTTTGGTAATCTTTTAACATTGAATAGTCAAGAAGAAAGCAGAAATCAGCATAAAGGAAGCAGAAGGAAGGTTAGAAGCACAGCAGATGAAGACAATATTGATGTAAACAACAAGCAAGAACGTGTTGTCGGTGTTTCATTTCAAGTTGATGAACGACCACAATTTTATCGAAAAGGAACTGTTATATCGGAAAGTATGTCACCATTTAAAAATTATGCTGACAGACCCAGATAGTCTTCCCCTCTTCTTAATCCAGCTCTTTTTTTAACAATATTTTTTGTTTTTATTATTTAGTTTTTCTTACTGTTTTGAAACTCGACACTCTGGAGATCTTTTTTTCTTCTCCTTCCTCATTTTCATCCATTTGAATTTTTTTTATCATGTTTTCTAGTTCTTTTAAAAATGTTAAATTTTTATTAAGTGTCACACTTTAAAACTTTTCTAAAAAGTTTTAATTCTTTTTTTTTGGTTCATGAAAAGTCTTTTTCATCATTTTATTTTTCGTTGTTTCAGTTTTTTCTGTCTGGATAGTAAAAGTTTGCATTTTCGTTGTATTAGTGGTTATAAGTTTTTAAATCTTATAACTTGATAGTTTTTTATAAGATAGACATATCAATCAAGGAAATAGCTTTTAAAAAATTAAAATGAACTGCATTATGTATGCAGTTTTTTATAATTAAAATTTACTTAATTTTTTTATTGAGCCAGCATCTTTACAGTAAGTCGTAATTAAGTCGAGTAATTGTCTAAACTTGGAACAGTAAAAGTGAAAATGCTGAAAAAATTTAAAACTAAAGACAAACTTTTCAAATTTCGTACAATCAAAATAGTTTCAGGCGATATGGATGTATTTTTTTTTGATCATTAAGAAAGTCATAAAATGTCGAGAAATTAAAAGTTTCTATAATCTAAAATGAAGATAAGAAAAAGTTTAGATATTAAATGAATTAGTCATAATTAAGAAGAATTTAATCCTAAAGAATTTAAAGGAATGTAAATAAGATACTTTATAAGAAAAAAATTTTATTTTTGATTTAATATTTTGAAATAATATGAATAAATTTTATCTCGTTTACTAAATTTTAATTTTAAAATTTTATATTTAACTTTTAATATTTACAATTTTCAAATAATAATACCGCATATGAATCATAGCAGAAATTAGGAAAAATTGATTTAATATTTATGCAAAAATATTAAAAGTAATGAAATTGAAAAATTACAAAAATTTTTATATTAAATATGCAGTTTTAATATTCACCAATGACAACTTTTTAAAAATATCAACTTAACTGCTTCAAAATGAGAACAATCCCTTACTGTAAACAAAATTAATTATTTTAGAATACAAAATATTTTTCTTCAGAATGTGAAAAGTGAAATAAGAATTAAAAAACTCTTTTTTATCATTTTTATTTGTTTTGAAATATCTGGGTACTTTCTTACAGATTACAAATCCTTATATTTATCATACAATGCGATAGCATGCTTGTTTATTTTCTAATGTGTACAATAGGATGTAAAACATTATTCGTTTTTGTATTTACAATTTTAATGTATAAAAGTCATAAATGTTTAGATTTACTTTATTAAACGATTAATTTCCTTTTTTCTTATTTTTATAGCGTAAGACATGAAATTAAAAATTTACATGAGTACTTCTTTTTTTAATAAAAAGAAGTGTCATATTAATGTAATAGAAGTGAGTAATGATCGAAAGAATTTGCAATTTAATTTATCATAAGTAAATATGTTCCCATTAGAATAATTTTTGCGTGCTTCATCTTTTAGCTTCTTTTTCCTAGAACATACTTTTTGCATATCTGTACTTTTCCTCATTCATTCATTTTCTCACTTTTCGTCTCTTTTTTTTCAATTCTTGCTCGAAAAATTTCAAACAAGCACATTTTCTTTAGAGATCTGTTGTGCATGTCAATATCCCATCATATTTTTATGACTTTTATAATAATAAAAACTTTCTTCAATTTTTCTTTTCATTTCTGCACATTGTATCCAAATTACAGTATCAATAATAACAATTTTTGTACAGCATTACGTTACAGAGAAAAAAACCAAGATCAAAACTACGACGGTTTTTTAAGGAAACATGCTTTCTTAATTACGCTCCACATCTTTATTTCAGAACTTAACTCCATAAAAAAAACTTTTCTGTTTCTCCTTATATTCCTCATATGTTTTTATTCTAATAATCGTTATGTCGATGTGATGGCGCAACAAAAGCTTGTAAGCTATAAAATCGAGGTGTATCATATGCTGTGACTTTTGTAACATGAAGAAATTGACATGGATGTGAGATCTGTGATTTTGGTGGCAAGGCAACATGTTTTGATCGTTTTTGTTTTGATGATGAACGCTTTTTGCGACCTGGTGATGAAATAGTAATATTTTCTGGCGAACAAATTAGTCTCTCTAGACTTTTCCATAACTCTAATGCTGCCTCATTTGAATCAAAACTGAAACCGACTACTTTTCTATGATCTAACAGTAAGTAATTATGTGAAAGATTAATAAAAATTCAAGTTAATTTAATTTTTCTCAACTTACCAGATGAAAGACACATTGTGTGAAATGCTGGCCCGGCAACTTTATAATTGGACAAATTATCAATTGTATCCTTCCATAATGCAAAGCACGTTCCACGCTCTGCCAGTACAAACGTGACTCGAGGTTGCGTTCGACTTCGTGCAAAACCTTTATCATAAAGTAAAACTGGAACTCCAGTGTAAACTAAACGCCAATCCTTTTTGCGAATACCTTCATAAAGATTTGCAAGTGATGAACTGACATAGACCTGCAATATGAATAAAAAAAAATAAGATTTTATAAAATATATATCCACAAAAGAACAAAATTACTAGGGTTTATTTTTGAGATGATTGATGATGCTTAACAACTTTACTTTTTATGACTAAAAAACATTTTACATTATAACAAGCTTTAAAGCATAAATATTTTACTTTGTGGTACTATAGCATGTGAAACATGTCGCATAGATATGAAAGTTGCAGATGTTGAAGGGGCAACAATAAAATTTCCAAAAACTTTTATTTTAAAGATGCTTTGTTTTTCTTCTTAAGCATTATAACTAATTTTTCGAGTATTAGTCGCTTTGAGCATCTGAAGTTCATTTAAAATTTTCTTCAATTTTTTATTCCTTAAAAAACATGAAATAAATGAAACATTATTACAGAACGTGATTTGATTACTGTCGTCGTTCTTTTTTGCTCTTAGCAATATCTGTGTGCTGTTTGTTGTTACGGAAACAAAATGTTCTGTCTTGAGCTTTGAATTCCTTTGTTATTAGATAAGAATGGAAAACAAATTTGAGGATTATGTTTGCGAAAGAAAATTATGATTTGAATGTCATTGCATTGTGGGTGGAGAAATTGAAACATCGTCGACGAAATCTATATATTTTTTTAAATATATTAAAAAAATCTTCCTCATGTATTATTGCGTTGACAAAAAATAAATAGATAACGAGCATATACGCGAAGGACGTTACAAAGTTGAAACATTGATTACTATTTGTTATCATTTAATGTATTTTTTAAGACTGTGTATATTTAATTTCGAAATTTTGTGATTCACGAATTCTTAATTAACTTTGAGGCTTTGAAACCTGAGAAATTTTTTAACATTTAACTTTTTACAACTTTGATAAAAGAACTTTCTAACTTAAGCTAAGGTTTATGATTTTGAATAATCTAATCGCATAGATTTTCTCACTGAATTAATGATAATATAAATTTGATAAGCTAAGTGATGATAAAACAATTTATCTAGAAATTTTTTTGTTTGTTTAATATGGATGAGACATTTCTATTTAAAGACAATAAAACCTTGTTTGTATTAACAACGGAAGTTGCTTTTTATGAGAATTTAAAACTTAAAAATAATCAATAAAAAACATTTTGCATTTTCATTGTTCGGTCTTGAACTACACATGTCAGCGCGAAATTTTTTTTTTCAAGCTTTTGACGTCAAAGTGCCTAGTAATGAAAGTCATTATACTTCTTTTGTAAGTATTGTTGAAATTTTTTAATTTTAGTTGTGGACTATTTTCCTATGAGTCATTACAAAAGAACTTAACATGAATTCTTCTTCAATGATTCTTTCAACTATAATACATTAACACAAATAATTATGCCTATTTTAAAGCCTTAAATAATGAAAAAGCATTCTGTATTATAAACCTTTTAAAGTTTAAAGGATGCAGCATGCTGCTTCAAGTCATGTCGTTTCCAATCAGTTAGACAACTATTATTGCTACATGTAGCATCGTTTAATCTATTTTTAATTTAATTATGAGCGAGCAGTCACATGAAAATGCTAATGCAAACAACATAGTCTTGAGAATAATTATTATTACTTGAGAATAGCATGAAAAATTGAATATAATCCATATAATCTATGAACATTGAAATATTTCTTTTTTGTTTGATTAAAAAAATCTATTTATAAATCTTTTTTAACATAAATATCAAACTAATGATGCAGCTTGATATGTTTTGTCACAAGCATTTGGTATAAATTTGGATTTAAAAAAAATATCAAGTTTCTCATTGTAAAAGATGAACATATAAATGCAAATCTGAAAGAACTGTATCATTTACTCACCTCTGTTCCCAATCCGCTAAAGAAAGATTCGATTTGTGCTCGTTCGTTGTCTAATATTTCTGGAATTGAATTTGTATCTAAACTAAGACTGTCTAATCTTAAATCCAAATTATCAATTATTAACGAATGAGCATTTTGTCCATCTAATTGCCATTCATGGCTGGTTGAAGACGCGTCATATGTTTCTGAACCCTCCGATATATCACTCGACGGAGTACTATTATCACTTAACGAGTTCAAACGTTGACGCGGATGTGCCATCTGTAAAAATAAAGAATAAGATGGTTGAGAATTATTTAATTTAATCCATTTAATATTATTTAAGAAAATATTTTCCCTTACTTTATGAGAAGGTCTGGGAAATAGTCTTCGCATATTTCTCTGTATAAAAAATTATTTAACCCTCCCAAAGTAAATTTGAAAAATATTTAAAATGTTCACAACAGAATAAACGTTGAAGCGCAACTGATTCAATAATGAAATCGTGCGAATGACTAACAAAAGTTGTATATTTACTCTATCACTGATAACAACACCATGAAACAAGAATTATCTACGATATAAATGAGAGTGATAAAACAAACACTTTCAACACTAAAATTTAATAGCAAAGCGTCATTGCAAGGTGTTCGTAGCATGGTTTAGAAGGTTAAGATAACCTCACTCAAAATAAATTTAAATACTTTAAAATGTCACAGAAGGATGTTCTTTTATAATTTGAAACAACAGTTTTTAAATCCGAAAGTAATAGATTATAATAGAATTTTATTATAACTCCAAGTTGGTTATGGTGATAATGGTTAACATTTTCCACCAAAGAAAAATATTAAGCATACATACCCAATCAATTAATTTAAATTGATCAATAATAAATCAATTTTTCATATTTTTAATTTTGACATTTAAATATTCATTTTAATAAAAATAATTTTCAAAAGCTGCTTTTAAATTACTTTAGTTTCTATCGATTTTTATATTTTGAAATTCATACTACTGGCACCAAAGCTTTAAAAGCCATTATCATAATTTCTTTTTGTTCGATCCATGATTCGTTGTGCCATTATAAAATTTTTTAAAAGTCTACGTGCTATAGAGCCTTAAAACCAAAAACTCATGAAGCAATTCAACAAATTTAAATTTTTTTCCGAATATTTACACAAGTTTATTGTCTGATGACAAGTAACTCATAAATGCAATATGCTCATAACCCTTGTTTTTCTCTCCTACATTAACTTGTCTTCTTACATTTTAAAAATTTGATGAAACTGTATTTTTTCAAGCTGATGGCTTTTGCTCTCTTTTCTTGTATACAGCTTTACTCCCTGTAATGATGAAAAAATAGATATAGAGAAAATATCCATTTTAGTTTTACAGCGAAGAAAACTTTTCTCATCTCTCCTTCTTATTTTTTTTAAAAATGATGAAAAGCTATTTAGAATTTTTTTCTCCTTTAAAAATAAATTGCAATATAAAAAACACTTCCAGTGTGAAAGAAAGAAAACTTTTACTGCTTCCAACTTTACATAAATAATTATTGAAGGAAAAAATAGATTGCGATATTGTAAGAAGTTTTGAATGAATAAATATAAAGACGTAATCAAATGGAGTAAAAAAAAATTAAGTTGAATTTTAGAAGGGTTTTACTGGGTTTTACAAGCAACACGTTTAATCACAAAGATTGTATTTTTGTTCGATTTGTTGATATAGGAATTTGAAAAAATTTTTTGTTTTTTAAAAACAAAATATTTTGATAAATAAAAAGGAATACAAGAAAAACCATATTTTATGTTATTAATAAAATGTTTTTACTGGATGTAATAGTATTATAAAACTTGTTTCTGCAATTTTTATCACATAGAATTATTTTAAGATAGAAATACATATCTCCTTTTTATGTTTATGTACATATGGAATAACAACAGCTTTACTCATTCAAAAACAATAATTTTTCTTAATGCTTAAAAAGCTGTAAGATGTTAAGAACAGAGTTAATATAGAAGGGAGCATAAGCCATATATGAAGACCATTTTATGATTCTGTTTTTATTAACAAAAACTACTCAACCATAATTTATGTAATGTAAGCTTTTTCTGGCTTTTGAACATGTATATATTTTTTTAAAACAACGTTTTGACAAAATTCAATATTTTTGATATTAGAGGATTAAAATATTGTTAATTTATTAAATACAATAACTTTAAATTTATATTTTGAGTATATTTTATATCTTAAAAGAACCAAAGAATTTGAAATTAGGAGTAAAAAAAATCCACATTTTTATATTATGAAACATAATTTTTATCTCCATCTTTAGCCATGTATATCATCATCATTCTCAATTTTTTTTGTTCAACCACGATTTTATTTCACAGCAACAATTTCCATCGAACAAAAATACAATGTAGTACGAGAATGTAATAAAGTAGAAGAAAAATTGAACCAACAAATTTAATTAAAGCTTAATTAATCATCAGGATGTATCTGTATAGAAATTCGATAGAACATTTTGTGTAAACAGTACGTAAATTCCCCTAACTTTATTCTGCCAAAAGTGTGTAAAGGTAAAGATAAAATGTGTACGTAGTTAAATGCAGTAAATTGAAGACCGTTCAGAATTTAAAGGCAAAAATATTAAGCAACAAAAATAGGATTTAAAGAAATTCGACAAAATTTCAAACCTGATTTAACCAAATAAAATATAGTTATTTTCTTAATTAACTAGTGTATTGGGTAGATAATCTACCAGTGTGTTGCGCATACATTCACACTGAAGTGTCAAAAGTTTTGTTTATTATCGATTTATCGTTTGAATGAAGGATTTAACGTAAAATCAATCTCTTAAATAGAACAGACTATACCATACCCGAGTGGAACGCTTGACATGATGTCTATCATTTAACTAGGAGTAAACACTACGCTCAACAAATGTTTAAAGATGTAAAGCTTGATATCTCAAGCTTCATTCAAAGTTGAATTTCAAAAAAATCATAATAAACCTTGGTTTTTCTTTAAATTTCGTATGAAAGAAAGGTTTTTTGCTTTTCTTTAAGCAACAGCTGTTTTTACCTGCTCCAAAACAATACAGCTCTTCTATAGGGTATTGCGGATAAAATGCAAAAAACTACGATATCTCATTATTGAAAATACATTAACACGTGAATACGGTGTAAATATAATAAAAACCCATTCTAATCCCTAGAAATGAGACTTTGCAAGTGAAAATGAGACTAACATTTTTTTTAGTTTTGGCTTAATAAAACCAAGAATCTGCATAAAAACTATGGCATATTATATATTTTCGGAAAGCTCTTGATTTCAGTTACATGAATTTTTAAAACAAACTTAATTATATTAACAAGGGTTGGAATCCTAAGGGTTTTAAACTGTTGATCTACATACAATTTGGTACGTCACACTGTGCCCTGTTCCTTAAAGGAAACAACTATATATTAAGTGAATTAGATTAACAAAACAACATATTAATAGACAACAGAGAGATTTTTTCGTTATCTTTTCTTGATTTTTTTTTATGAGTTATCAAACCTTGGTGATTTTTCTATCTGATTTTTTTTTAAATGCTCTAGCTCATCCAAATTTTCAAGTATTTTAATTATTTAAACGCCGTTTATCTTATTTTTTATTTACCTTTATCTTGACGCTCAGAAAACGTCCAAGGGTTGGACACTTTGTCAAAATAAAAAACCAACCCTTGGATTTTTTTATTATTTTTTATGTTTCAACTATTAAAACTAAGAACTTTAAACTTATAAATAAGTTATAATCATTATTTAATTAAAATAACTTTGTGTTTTATCAAATCAACCCTCAATAAAACGGAAAAATTAAAAAAAATTTGTTTGCATTACATTAAATTTGTATTTAACGTTAAATTTTAATTTTTGTAAAAAATATTTTTGTTCCATTCATGTTATTATATTAATAATTCAAAATTTAATTGTAGTAAGGTAATGAATTTATCAAAATATTTAAAAAAATTTTTTAAATTTTTCCGTTTTATTGAGGGTTGATTTGATAAAACACAAAGTTATTTTAATTAAATAATGATTATAACTTATTTATAAGTTTAAAGTTCTTAGTTTTAATAGTTTAAACATAAAAAATAATAAAAAAATCCAAGGGTTGGTTTTTTATTTTGACAAAGTGTCCAACCCTTGGACGTTTTCTGAGCGTCAAGATATAGGTAAATAAAAAATAAGATAAACGGCGTTTAAATAATTAAAATACTTGAAAATTTGGATGAGCTAGAGCATTTAAAAAAAAAATCAGATAGAAAAATCACCAAGGTTTGATAACTCATAAAAAAAAAATCAAGAAAAGATAACGAAAAAATCTCTCTGTTGTCTATTAATATGTTGTTTTGTTAATCTAATTCACTTAATATATAGTTGTTTCCTTTAAGGAACAGGGCACAGTGTGACGTACCAAATTGTATGTAGATCAACAGTTTAAAACCCTTAGGATTCCAACCCTTGTTAATATAATTAAGTTTGTTTTAAAAATTCATGTAGCTGAAATCAAGAGCTTTCCGAAAATATATAATATGCCATAGTTTTTATGCAGATTCTTGGTTTTATTAAGCCAAAACTAAAAAAAATGTTAGTCTCATTTTCACTTGCAAAGTCTCAAATGATCTCTATAGATAAAAATGTAACTGAAACACCAGCTAAACAAACCACACAGTGAAAAATGATTACAATCACAATAGTTTTTTTATTTTAGACAATTTTGAGGATAAATGTGATATGTTTAATAAAATAAATCATTTTCTCACTAGATTTGACTTCAATTTAATAAAAAAGGAAGTAAAGCTGATATATTTATTTTGATAACGATTGATAACCAAAAAACTTCCTTGACAATTCGTCGACACGTGTCAAAGATTTTATTGCCATTTTATTGTTAAGAATTTGCTAGAGAAGACAAAAGTTTTTTGATTACATGTGAAACACTTGTTTTTAAACGAAAATAAATCTCTTTAAAAATTTTTTCATTTCATTAGCAAGTTTCCTTCAAATAGTTTAAGAGTGGAATCTTTGAAGAAATGTTATATGTACCTTGGCATCCTGACTTTGAGTGTAAAATAAATTAAAACAAAAGCTTTATTGATAGGGATGAAAATTGGTTCAATAAGACACAAAACACTTTTATTTTGTAATTTAAAACATGAAATTATTTTTCAATTTCAATTTACTGCTATCACATAAATACATAAAATCATACACGTGTATGATCCTTGAATTCAAAACAACAAAATGTAGAAGAGCATCATTTTCATATTTGAAGTGTATAACATATATGAACGCTACTTATAGAAATTTATTACTTTTCTTTTCGAGAATAGAAAAGTTGTGAAATAAGGAGTTTCTGTGGAAAAGGATTCTCATTTTAAAGGTTTCATTAAATTAAATTTAAAAAAAGGTAATCAAATATTTCTGAGCCTCAAAACCATTTTTTTTTAAATTACAGGTGTTTATTTATTCATGATTTAAAAGCTTTTCTTAATTTTATTGAAAAGATAAAAGATGATTTTTTTAACTCCTGATCTGTTTGAATGTGTAAGAATGGGAACGAAAACAAAAAGTGCCATATTATTTAAAGAATGTTTTAAACTAAATAGCAGAATGTACACATTCAGAGAATTTTAAATAGTTTACTAATGAACCAGGGACGTAGCCAAGAATTTGAAGAGAGGGGAAAATAATTTTTACATTTTAGGGGGGAGGAATTTGATTTTTAGGATTTTTTTCATAAAACCCCTAGCAGGATTTATTAGGATTTTTAAGGTTTTGTCACTTAATCACCTTCTGGCTATGCACCTGAAATGAACACTTTATTAAAAAGAAGTAATATTTTACAATTATTTGTCAGTTAAGGTGCTATGATAAAAGTGTCAGGAACAACTGTAGCGACGATGATGTGGAAAAGTTTGTAAGTTAAAATTTTTTTATCTGGATTATTTTTGCTTTGTTTTATTTATTTTCGTTCCTTAATAGCTTGTTGCTGCTTATCGGATTTACTTCTGTTCAATTATCAGAAGCATACATTTCATATTTCACTTGTGATTTCCAAAACGAATCAACCTGCAATGTTCACAACATCACTCCGATCATAATTGAAAATCAATCAATTAAAATGTGGGGTTATGCTGAAAATTATGAAAATACTTTAATAAGTTCATTAATTTTTGATGCACATAATGAAGTTAATTTCATTCCATCAACAATATTTCGGATATTTCCAAATCTTCAAGTAATTCAAATGAGTAATGTTTCAATGACTAAATTAACGAGTGATGCATTCATTTATTGTAATAATCTTACTACAATATCAGTAACATTCAATAATTTCACAACAATTCCATCAAAATTTGCATACAGGTGTAAAAATTTAGACAAAATTTCATTTAATTATGATCAAATTGTTGCAATAGATGAAAACGCATTAAGTGGATTGAAAAATCTTAAAGTTTTGGATTTAAGTTGTAATAAAATTTCTTGCATTCCATCAAAATTATTTGAAAGCTCGTTACAAATTGAAAATATTTCATTCAAAAACAATGAAATTAAGGTTCTTGATGAAGATTTATTTGGAAAGTTAAAGGCAATAAAAATTATTAATTTAGATGGTAATAAGATTGCTTTTATACCAATAATGAGTTTTGATCAAAGTGCATTAATGAATTCATTAAATTTAATTTTAAATGATAATCCATTGTACGCAATAGAGCCAAAATTTATAGAAGTTTTTTTCGAAGCCGAAGGTACTCAGTCGAGTATAAACTTTACAATTACAAATAATGAAGGAATTTGCATTCCAAGAGAATTTGAACATCAAGTGGTTCAAAAAATAAATTTTAAATCTGCTGGTGATGCATTGTCAGCATGCTATGCTCATTGGTCAAGTGACATGTCAAAAATTAAAAGTTTATGTATCGCATCAGAGTCAAATAATGCAAGCGATTTAAAGTTTTTGGAGCAAAATCATAACAGTTGTAAAGTCTCAGCAGTTTGTCGCTTTTACATAAGTTATTTAAACCAGTACACATGTGTAATTGAATACATTGATTCTAGTAGTTCTTATATTAGTGGAAAACATATTTCTGAAACATTCAGCGATAATGATGTAATAAGTGTTTTCATTACTAATTCAGTGTTAAATACAATTCCTTCTATTATTTTTGAAAAATTCCCTAATTTGGAATTTTTAACAATTAGCAACAGTACAATGACTTTTATTCATGAGCGCACAATTACGAAGTGTGAAAATTTAAAATATTTGGATGTCAGTGACAATAATATTATGCATATTTCAAAATATGCTTTTAGGATGTGCCAAAATTTGCAGATTATTGATTTAAGTGAGAATCCAATTGAATATTTCGACATTCAGCATATTCGAAGATTGAAGCGAGTTTATTTGAATAAGAAGTCTTTGTTTGAACAAGAACGTAATTTTGTTTGAACTGTTAGATGAACTCAGTCACTTCCGTCTCAACCGAATTCAATTGTATTCAGAACAATATTGTGAAAATTATCAAATATTTGTTTTCGTGTTTTAAACACTTGAATTTTGATTGTCAATAAATAATTACAACAACAAGCGTTATTTAATTTCCCGTAATCAGTTTAGATCTGTTACATCTTAAAAAAGAAACTAAGAAAAACTTCAATTGAAGAGGGAGAAATGAAAGTTTAATAAAAAGGTATTAAGTAATAAACAAAGCTTATTCTATTGTCTATATTTCTTTCCAGATGATTTACTTTCATATTCATCTACTGCTACTTATTACTGTCGGCATATTTTTCATTTTCTATTCTTTACATTTTTTTTTATTCGTTTTTCATTTAAAATCAATTACCAGCAATTTACTATTATAGCATAAATAAACGAATATATCAAACAATTTGAAGCAAGGAAGAAGAGAAAGGTAAAATAATAATGGTTTATACCTCCATTATTCTAAATAAATTGATTTTTTTTTGTTTTTATTTCAATATTGATTAAATAGTTCTTAAATAATTGTATGATTTTATATTTTTCCCACGTGACTTTTAATAAACTATAGTAAATAAACAGTTTTTCCTTTTCGTACAAAAACTTCTAAATGATACATATATGATCTGATCAGATATGTTGAAAATATAAACAGAAATAGCATTAATTATAAGCCACAAACAAAGCCAACATCAAAACATTGAAAGAAATTAATTTAACATTTAGCGCGAAAAAAAGCACTCATTATTAATCGTAATGAATATTAAATTCTCTATATAATTTCAATATTTTTCAATTTTAGCATCAAAATGATGCATAGAAATTTCAATAATTAAATGTTAGCAAATAAAATCATTAGTGGTTTAAAAACAGCAAAGTTTAGCTTCTCTTGTTATGGAATTTAATCTTTCACATTAATTAATCATTTACCTGTCATCTACCTGCAGGGTGGGGATTTAAATCATAAATCAAAATCAAAATCATTTTGCAATGATTTGAAAAATGATTTTTGATTTAAATCATTTTATCCAAGTGATTTATTTTTGATTTATGATTTAAATAATTTTGTATGAAAGATTTATTTGTGATTTATGATTTAAATCATATTGTATGGGGATTTTTTTTGGGATTTTAAATCACTTGAAGGTGAAAATTTATTTGGGAATTTTCAGAAGATTATTAAAAAACATTAATCATTAATCATGGATATGCTTTCTGGCTTTTGGATATTGTAGTATGCAGATGTTGGTATAGCTCTAAATGATAAAGCATGAATGGATCTAGCATCATATGAAGAACTAGTCACTTCCAGTCCCTTTAAAGCATTTTTTGATAATTTTTCATTGTCAAAGAGGTATAAGTTTGTATTTCTTAGCCAGAGGTATGATTAGACACTGGAACTGCCCAGTTCCTTTACATCCCAAAAAAAAAATTTTTGTTTCTTTTTAATCAAGGAATCACATCCTGGAACAAAAATTTTTTTTGAGGAACCGACCGGTTTCTTTTAGTGCCTGAAGACTGAAAATGTTAAATATAAAGTCATTAAAGAATGAAGCACTTTTTCTGAGCATTTTTTCAACCATAATTAATGATTAATGTTTTTTAATAATCTTCTGAAAATTCCCAAATAAATTTTCACCTTCAAATGGCTTCAAATGATTTAAAATCCCAAAAAAAAAATCCCCATACAATATGATTTAAATCATAAATCACAAATAAATCTTTCATATAAAATGATTTAAATCATAAATCAAAAATAAATCACTTGTGTAAAATGATTTAAATCAGAAATCATTTTTCAAATCATTTTTCATTGAGATTTAAATCAAAAATCACAATTTGATTTGTGATTTTGATTTAAATCGCAAAAAACTCCCCCACCCTGTCTACCTGTCATTAACATTACAAGCTCAATGGATGAATAACTTCATTTGTAATTGACACTTATTGAGCTTATATGAAAACAATGAAGAGAAAATTGTGTACACGCAATATTTTTTTTTACTAGCAAGTTTGCTTTAATTTATAAGTTCATGTTAAAAAATACCAAATTGTTTGATTTACGAATTACAAAAAATATACTTTGAAACTGAAAACTAATTAATATTAAACTTAATTGAATAACACGAGTTTTATTTTGTTTTATGATGCCGTTTCTTTTGTAGAACCTTCAAATTAATGAAAGTGATTGAACTTTGATGAAATCTTCTCACTTTAACATTTTCAACCCTTTTAAATGAGATTTTATGATTTTTTTTTCGAACTGTTTTCTGTTACAGAGCCTACGTCATAACCAGAGGTCGAAGCAAGCATAGCGAAGCGAGTTTTTAGCGAGTTCGCTTCGCTAAAAATTCAACTTGCTAAAGTCGACCTGTAGCGAGAAATTTTTTTTTCTTTTCGCCTTAGCGACCTATAGCGAACTCAATTTTATTTTTTTCGCTTTAGCGAACTATTAGCGAACTTAATTTTTCAAAGTTCGCTATAGCGAACTATTGGCGAACTAGAAAAAATTTTTTGGCTTCATGTAAAGAGATGTCTGATTGCGTTTGTGAAGTATGTAATTTCATACAAAATTGCAAAAAATTATAGTTCGCCAATAGTTCGCTATAGCGAACTTTGAAAAATTAAGTTCGCTAATAGTTCGCTATAGCGAAAAAAATAAAATTGAGTTCGCTATGGTTCGCTAAGGCGAATAGAAAAATTTTTTTCTCGCTACAGTTCGACTTTGGCAAGTTGAATTTTTAGCGAAGCGAACTTGGCGAACCAAGTTCGCTTCGACCTCTGGTCATAACTCCTTGTTTCATATTGTTCGTTTTTGTGATATACAAATACATAAATACATTTTCATGTGAAATTAATGAGCCTGCTTGTGGGCTTTTTCTATATACGACTTGTGTTTTTTTCACTCTCCTTTTCTTTTTTAGCATCAACTGACTATAAATATTATTTGATCGTGATTTATTGGTATTGATTTTTATTTTTGTATATTGATGATAAATTATTCGCATTTTTATGCTTCGAAAATTAGAAAATTTCAATCAAAATGAATAAATTGCGACGTATTAGAATTTGGATTTTAGGGGAAAAACAAGTAGCCGTTCTTCCTAGGTAATTTTTTTTCAAAAATCAATTAAGATTATAAGATTTACAAAAATAATAATAAACACGAAAAAAATCAATTATAATTAATGGCAGTAATTATTAATTAACAATAAAGAAACAAAACTTGAAAACTCATAACAATGTTCATTATTGATAAACAAACATAAATCATAGAAAATTACCATCAACAAATGATCTGCTTTAGAAAAATAAGTTGTAGCAAAATCAATAAATCTCAACAGCTATCTAGTCAATATTAAGGAAAATGAAATCATGTCTCTGTCAATGATTTTTGATCGTATTCGGAAAAATTACAATTTCCGGATAATTGCTGCTTCAATATCCCGTGAAATAATTCAATTTTCTCTGATATGAAATATGTTTTATGCTGAGTGAGCAGAACATGTTTAAAGAAAAGAGATGTTGAAGAGTGAGAATATTGAATAATTTTGAATCGTGTTTAAAATTCAATCAAATTTATCAGGAAAATCATAGCAAAAATTCAATTCAATTTAAAAGTTTAAGATTTGAAGACGAGAAGTAAGTAAAAAGACATATTCAATTTAAAAGTAAAGTTAGGAAAATATTAATTTGCATAAATTGTTCAAAAAAAGTTATAACATAATAAATTTGGAGTAGTATAAAACATTGTCATACTTTCATCTTTCCCGCAACCGGCATAATTCACTTCAATAAATGAACTGAATGGGATTAAAAAATAAAACAGTTAAAACATTAAAAACAGACAGTTTCACTATAAAAAAAGAAATTGAGAAAAATTAATTTGCTTCAATTAAAAAACATTTACTTTGAGCTTCTGATAGAACATTCAGGACAGTTTTAATTGTATGGCAATTATCCCGCATCGCCATTTTACGCTCTTCTTCACTGCATTCAACAATATCATAAACTGTTGTTTATTTTTTATTTTCCCTTTCATTTAAAGAGAAAATTTACAGTCTTTTTTATGACTCAATTAACAGTTTCCATATTCATATAGAATACACGAGTAGTCCATTAGGCATATTTCATTTAAGAGTGCGAAAATTTTTGTACATAAACTGATAGAACATGAAATAAAACTTTGACTAAATCAAAATTTATATATATGATACGTGCTTTGGTCTAAAAATATAAAAATTGCAATTCTAAGGATAACCTTTTGGTAAAGAACATGTAGCTAAAACATAATATGGATTTTTTAATTAAAATTAAATAATTTGAATAATCTGGGAATTAAAGGGAGAGTTTTGTGTAGCTTTATAGAGTCCTTTGACTGACTTGTTCCTAAATATTATTTATATGTATTTATACTTATATGAGGATAGACAGAGCAATGATATTCCACCAGAATGAATTAATGAACGTGAATTGGATATAGAAGAATAAAAAAGTTTATTTAGGTCATTTTATCCATAAAAGAGCAAATTGATCCAGAACTCAATTAATATAATAAAAATTACTCACTGTTGATTAATTTCGTATGTGAGCAATCTATAGAAAATATTCAATTGAGTTAAGGTATTTTATTATAACGAAAAATTGATGTTTTATGGTTATAAAGGATGTTGATTATCCTTCAATTTATAAGGGCTTGTTATATGAATTCAAAAACGAACTTGTATGGAAAGTTGACGCTACAGTAATAGCAACATTTATCGCTTTAGTTTGAGCTTACTAGTTTGTATTTTGCATTTCGCTGTAAAAAGCAACATTCTGCTTTTTAAAAAACTTTTATCAATGTTGTAGGATTCATATTTTTTTTCGTATACACATCTCTTTCAACTACTTTCCGGAAGCAACAAAAATCCTATATATTTTTTCGTATTGGTCGTTGTAACATTTTTTTGGTTTGAATTACTTTTTCACACAAAAACGATGTGTTCCCGGATGGCTTTTATGGTATTCAATGAAAAATGCTTTACATACATATCTTTCTAAGCGTTGTATTAAAAAAAATGGATAGAATTTATGTTTATGAATATTCTAACAGACTCCAAGGACGCTTGAAAGTAATGAAAATGTTCGAGATAGAAATGAAATTGTGACATTTTTTACACAAAGAATTTTTCTCAATTCCCTGTGTATTGGAAATTGTTCATGAAATGATGTGGGCAGGGAATTTATTTTATTCATCCTAGGAGCAAAATTAAATTTCCGTCACAATCTCTGTTTACGTTTTTTTTT